TATTTCAAATATGAATTGCACAAGAAGGCACAATTCTTTACCATTGGTTAATTTAGTAGAGGAATCTATATAATAAAATTCCTCCAGCACCTGGCCCCTTTTTGAAAAATTTACTGGATGTCTAATATATTTAATATTCAGTAGTATGTGAGAATAATTTTTATGCAACTCTGATGGTTAGAAAGATAGATAACTCAATTATTAGGTCATCTATCAAAATATTCAGATGTATAAGAGGCTACTAAAAAGATTGATGACTGAGAAAGTCCACTGATTCTCCAGCCATCATATTCATGCATTTGGCTAGACAACATTTTTCGCTGGCTTCACAAGCAAGCTTCATTACCCATCACTCCACTGAAAAGAGTTTATTATGAGGCTGCCATCTTGGGAAGACTATTATTTAGATGATAAATGTTGGGGGGAAGAGTGTGTCTAGCCTTTTTAAAAAGATGAGCTTTGTGACAGATAAAACAAACAGCATCTACATTTCTAATTAACTTAAATTTGGCAGATACAAATACAGGTCAGTAAAGCTATGGTATGCTGCTGGAATATCTTCTATGTGAATTTTACTGTTAATTTGTAAAATGTAAATTAACTAATTAGAAGAAAGGCAGCATCATTTGTGACAAACCACTTCTGCTTGTTCTTTGCTTATTGACATTTATGAGTAACTGTACTTCCTTATTCTAATTTAGGATAATTATTCTTGTTTATTAAATTTGAAATTTTTCACATTAAAACTTACATTTGGAAAACATGGAAAAATTACTACCCAGCATAAGTTTAATGCACAGCGTATGTTTTTCAAATATTATTTTGTCTCAGCTATTCTGCTTTAATGCAATTTAAAGTGATTCGTCATTATAATTTTTAAAAAACCCAAAGAATGAAGCAGATTCCTGCATTGCAAATGTACATTTAGTGTGTCTTACACAAAATATGATTACATTTTGTCAATTCCTTTTTCATTTTTTTCTTCACACACAGATAGCCAAAGATTTCTAATTTGACTAGGCAAGCATTAACAAAATTACACAAGAGGAGAGGGAAAGTAGATAGGCCTGAGTTACAGAAAGCAAAACAATTTTGTAAATAATAAAAACTTAATGCTTTGATACTGTACAGAAAATTGTTTTTACTATTCATATGTAGATAAAGGCTCAACAATAAGATGTACATTCAAAATGTCAGATGTAAATGTCAATTAAAAATTACAAGGGGTTCTGAAAGGTAAGGTCTGTGGGGGTTGACATTCTTTGACATCATGGAGTGTCTGTGACCAGGCCTTTGGCAAACATAGCAGGATCTATGCTGTCAGCTCTTATCGTACGTAAGCCTAGATGCTTGTCTAATCTGAATGAGAAATACCAAGGAAATTGGAGCTGAAGCCTTGCGGTAATGTAGATAGAAGCTGAAAGCATTCTGTCTGTATTATGGGATAGCCTCTGATGCTGTGACAAATATTTGAAGAAGAGAAATATGAAGAGATGTATAATTCAAGCAACAAAAATATGATATTGTATTTACTTTTGGAAAAGTAAAGAAAAAAAGCAGTCATCATTTATAAATGACTGTCTATATCTGGCATGCCACTAAAATACAACATGAAAAGAGGTTCACAAAATTATATTTATTAGTTAATACAATCTTAAACTTACCTAATGTGAATGTATTCCTGTTGTCTTACTCCTATAGTTAAATTCATAGTGGGATGAGACCTATCACAAACATACTAAACTTTTTCTGATATTGTGAAGCACTATTACATTCCAAATCTTGAAAACGCTATTTCAGACTAGCTGATTAGAAGCAATGACTGGTTGCTAAATACTATGTTTTTTAAAATAACTTCAAAATATTGGCAAACATTAACAAAGATATACTTATACCATTCATTTGGGAGACATTATTCATTTAAACCAGTACTTATGTACATCTTGATTCAAAGGAAAAATACCTTATTTACACATACACATTAAGAAAATAGCAGCCTTTCCATTTCCAAGCATGTGAGGTCTTCCTTCCTTTTAGGATAACTAACTTCATTTAAAACATTACAATTCACTACATTTTATTTCTGTGTAGAGATTTAGAATGATTTGCTTCAGCAATGATACTCCAAATGAAAAAAAAAGTTATGCAGCACACAAGCCCATGTTCTGAAATAGGTTATTCACCCAAGCCCATTTTCTGAAATAAGCTAATTAATGCTAGGATATGGGTTGGAAATGAGAGAGGGAACACCAATGCAGAATGTGTGAAATTTCAAAAGCAGTGTATGGCCTAGCCAATCCTAAGTCCCTGTGAGTTGCAGTAAGGTCAAAACCTTTCGGTATTATACCAGTGTGTCAAAAATATGTCAACAAACCATCATCTTGCAGGAAGAAGAATGACCTTTCAGTTCTTTGTGTTTTGGCTGCCATGAAGCTTTGGACACTGGGTATGCATGAACAGTTTTCCTAGATGCTTGACAAATGCAACTCCCAAGGTTTCTACTAAGCTTGTTTGTTAAGCCAGTATGTTTCATCTTACAAGGTGAACTTTTAAAATCCCTGAAATTCTAGATATTGACATTATGTTAGAGAAAAGACCTTCCTTAAAATGTCCAAGTAGTTGGACTTTTATCACAACAAAATAACTCATAGCATTATTGTCCAAATACTCACCTATTTTAATAACTTATTCCTTCAATAACTTTGTAAAATGGTGAAAGTAAATGTCTGGTGTATCTAACAATCCAAATACATACATGGAACTTAATTTTTTTCTCTCCATCGTTCATAAGACATACCATTATTGAACTGTATACATTGGACAACAAGGAAGATCTAATTCTGAATGCATGTACAATGTAATGTCATATGCACTTTTAAATAAAAATAAATACACACACACCCATTGGAAGACTTAGGAAGCAAGTCTCATTGAACTTAGAATAACTTGTTCATAAATATATTTAGAAACATTCTGCACATACTTTTAGAAAAGAAACTGGGAGTGTTGATTAGCAGTTAACTTGCTAGAAGAATTTAGAGCAACTTGTCTCTTGTTTTGAATGTATGCAGAATACTAAAGACATTTAGATTACAATTAAATAGGGAAAAATTATATCAGATTGAAGGTTCGCTATTCATATTCAAAGAGTGTAGAAGAAATAATGTTCTCATTATGTAGAATTATCATTACTCTAATATCAGTGTCAAAGAAGTCATTTTGTTAGTGCATTCTTCAAATGTTGCGAAGTTGCTTCTGATAATAACAGCATCAAGGTTTCTCTTGGGACTCACTAAAATGTAGTCTAAGAGACACTGCAGCCCAATTTGCAAACAATGGAAGAAGTAAACTGACTGCATCCTTACTGTAAGTCACTACTGACAATATGGTTACTAATTATTAATTAATCTGTCTCTTGATGATACCAATGTACTCATTAGTACATCATAGAAGTATGTATAAGCACACAAATTTACTTTTGAATTCAATGGTTTAATTACACCAGAAACAGAATGAAGTATGCCAAATTAGGTTTTCTTACAGTTTAATATTTTTACATATAAACACATGCAATACTTATGAGCAAAAACAGCTTTGTCTCAGTAGCGACCATAGTACAGGTTCAACCCATAGCTCTTCTACCTAGGTAACAGTTCTAGGAATAAGTGAGACCAGAATAGCTAATACTGGACTATGTAGACCAGGGGCCGGATACAGCCCTCCAAGTTCATTTACCCGGCTCTCGCTCAGGGTCTACCTAAGTCTGAAACAACTTGAAAGCACACAGCAACAACAATCCTATCTCATCAGCAAAAAGCAGTCCCACACTTCCCATTGAAATACTAATAAATTTATAGTTGTTAAAATTGTTCTTCATTTTAATTATTCTATTGTTTTAAGTGTGTGTGTGTGTGTTTTTTTTTTTTTTTTACAAATAAGATATCTGCAGTGTGCATGGGAATTTATTCATGCTTTTTCCAAATTATAATCCAGTCCTCCAACGGTTTGAGGGACTGTGACCTGGTGCTCTGTTTAAAAAGTTAGAGGACCCCTGATGTAGACCAATGGTCTGCCTTGATAAAACAAACCTCACAAAGCCGCATTTCTAACACACCTCTGCAGCTGAAAAATGTGAACCACAATGAGAATGAAACATAAGATTATTATGTTCAATATGATAAAAACCCCAGACATACTTCATCAAGAGGCTTAGCTAGCAAATATAAAAACCAGAAAATGTCACATCACAACACCAATATTCATCTTCTTCTGACGCACTTTTCAAATAATGGAATCAGCGATTCAGATACTGCACAGTAGCACCTGAAAACTGTTGCCAAAGAATAAATGCACAACTCTGACCCAATTCTTTTTTTTTTTAAACTGAAGCTTGAATACAAGTCACCAACCCCCGACACTCCAGCTCAAAACAGGAATTACAAGGGAACGTTTTAATTCTTAGTGGATACAAGGAATAAATGTTGTGGATATTATAGCCCTAAAGTTTAGCAAACTGGACAATGCTTGTTGTTTTGAAGATCCTTAGCAGAACATGGATCCAATTTTGAAGAGAAATGGACAATTCTGCTTTTTTATATAAGCATTTCCCAAAAGATATATAAATTCAAGATACTGCTTCTGGAGATGAAATATTAAAGAGGCAAAATGATGGATCAAATTAGTGTCACAAAATTTCAAAAGTACTTCTGCCTCATTTCTTTAACCAAGGTACATCATGCTATAGCTTTCGGAAATAGATGAGCTCAACAAAAAGCCACACTGGGAACTTTCACCAGTGCTTTATTGATTTACATGCTATGCCTATGTAATGAAAAACACATACTAGAATCATTTGGCTCCCATAACCTGGTACTCTGAGTATAATAGTTGGTTACAATTATAGTTCAGTTTTTCTTTCTACAGAAAGCTAACAACAGAACATCAACTATAGATGTTTTGCTTACAGATTCCGTAACTAAAGAAAAAGAATTAAGATTTACCTGTTCCAGTAACTCCAAAATTGGTCATGTAGGTAAGCTTGATGGCTGCATTCATCACCAAAAGAAGCTTTACTTTCAATCCAATGAATGATATGACCTTCTACAGCTAAAAAGGGAAATGCTTTTAGATTAAAATGAATCCAGGGTGAGTGACTCCACAAAACGGTACACAAATTAGGAAAAGGAAGCATCCCTTGAAAATTAGGCAGAGGAGGACAACTCAAAGATTGTCATCTGCTAAGGCTAGCTCGACCTTTGAAAATTCATTATTATGAAGCTCTGCCATAGCCTGCTTTCTACAAGTATTGCATTTACTCTTGAATTCAGGATTTTTGAGTGGCTTTGTTACACTAGTAGAAACAAAGGAATGGCATTATGCAATCAATAATAAGACTTTATATCTTAGGAATCACTAGCTGCTGCTGGTGACCTTGAACTTCCTATGTAATTCCAGAACCCCACCCCCCTCTCAGAGTTTACTTGACTAGCTAAGACTGTTGGTCTTTGTTTCCGTAACGTTCCTTCATCATAGACCTTGCTGTGTTTTCTAAATTGTTTCCTGACTACTAGTGTCTTTCAATGCATCTTCCTCAGCTCTGGTCTTAAGATCTTAGATCCAGTTCCTCTGAAATCAGATAGAACCGTTGATCTCAGACAGCCCCTGGTTAAACCTTTGAACAGTTCAGCCATGATGACAGACACATTGGCTACAATAAAAGGTAAAATGTGTGCTGGTTTTCTTTTAGTATATGATCTTAGCAGTGACTTTTACTTAGCAATAATACACACTTTTATTTCATATTTACACATTTATTTATCTAAATGTGACAGTATTAGATAAATAAAAGACCATGTAGAAAATCCTAGACTTTAAAGATTCAGCCCTGCAAACAATACTTATTTTATTTTATGTATTTGTTTTGTCTAGCTATTTCTGAATTGGTGCTCTCTTTCTCTCTCTATACATACATACATGGACACACACACACACACACACACACACACAAATATATTATCAGGTTCTTGACAGATTTGTGAGCCTTTCAGAAAAATCTATTTGGATATATTGGAAATAACCAAATATAAATATAACAATGTCTATTCTTGATAGAGTGTATAAAAAGTAAGAAAGAAGAAACATTGGTTAGGTAGAAGAAAGCCAGCTGGGCTACAATAATATCTCTCAATGATAGCTCAGTTCCAGCAATGTAGACAACAGCACAATGGCTGGAAACCATGGATAATATGTGCTAGAATGGAGAAAAATAAACCCTTGCTAGGAGAAGTTGTAGCATTTCTTTTGACAATGGCTGTGGATGTTTTCACTTTCTAGATTTGGAAGCTGTTCTGGTTGCAAACTAAATAAGTAGGGTTAGGATATACAAAACTGCACTGCATAAGTCTCTGGCTTCAACCATTTTGACACCTCAATTTCTTCACTGCACTCATTAATTTGTAGTAACTATTCCTAACATTTGCTTATTCTGGAAGTGCTGTCTCCAAAAGCAGACTGTGCTATATTAGCACTTACACTAAATTCTTACATGGCAACTGTAGAGGGCTTAAAAGTTGAGAAGTGAACATCCATCTGAAGGCCTTTCCACCAGAATATCAAGGCAGAAAATCTGACAATATCTGCTTTGAACTGCATTATCTGAGCCCACACTGCCATATATCCTAGTTCAAAGCAGAAAATGTGGGATTTTATTCAGCTGTGTGTAAGGGGCCTCAGTGCTTTGCTCAGGAAAAAGGAGGGAAATTACCTATAGTTGTTTCACCTTTTGAGTCTAACTTAGGTTATTTCAATAGTAGCCTCATCATCAGCTCTTTTTACTACCCCTTCTGCCAAAGAAGAATCTGCAATCCTCTGAATCTATACAGATATCAGCCTAAAAAATCAGGAAGTGAATGGATTAATCACTCAAAAAATGAACTGAGGTCAACACCTAGTCCACATTCAGGCTTCAGTTACTGAAATGCATCCTGCACAACTGGACAGAAAATGTTTCCAACATCATCATTATTGGAAGTATGTTACCCTGCATCTTAAATTATGAGAATATGTGACTGAAATGAATAAGAAAGTGTAACAATACCAGCAGCACAATTTTCCCCAGAATGTTTCAAGAATCGACCCATAGAATTTGAACTTCTTGGAAGGAAACGAAATGTTTCTTTCTTTCTTTTCTTTTTTTTTAAAAAGCAAGGAAATAAAAAGGATGTCATAAATGAGCCTGCCCAAAATGTGAGCTCTGCAATGGAACCCTGTTATATATCCTACCACTACATGAATCCAGGTTGGTGGGTTCATGTGACAAGGCTTTGACTACAGGACTACGTTCCAAATGAAGTTAGGCTGGCTTGATCTTATTGAATTTTCTGGCAGGCAGCTAAGGTTGTTCCATATAGCCTTCAAACTTTAAAATCTAGGGATGGTTGCTTTGCCTGTTTTAACTAGCATTGTTTTAAAATGGTTTCTAATGTTCATTATTCTAGCATCAGCAGTCCCATAACCCATGCTATGTCTAGAAAGATTAGCCATCACACGAAGGGTGTTTCTAGAGTATGTCAAATTCAACTTGTAATTTGTTATTCAATCATAGTATTAATGAAGGTTGTCTCTCTCCTGAGGAATCTGTACAAGGACCAAGTAGCAACAGTAAGAACTGACCATGGAACAACAGACTGGTTCAAGATTGGGAAAGGCGTACGGCAAGGCTGCATACTCTCACCCAACCTTTTTAACTTGTATGCAGAACACATCATGCGATGTGCGGGGCTGGATGAATGCAAAGCTGGGGTGAAAATTGCTGGAAGAGACATTAACAACCTCAGATATGCAGATGACACCACTCTGATGGCCGAAAGCGAGGAGGAGCTGAGGAGCCTTCTAATCAAGGTGAAAGAAGAAAGCGCAAAAGCCGGGTTGCAGCTAAACGTCAAAAAAACCAAAATTATGGCAACAAGAATGATTGACAACTGGAAAATAGAGGGAGAAACCGTGGAGGCCATGACAGACTTTGTATTTCTAGGTGCAAAGATTACTGCAGATGCAGACTGTGGCCAGGAAATCAGAAGACGCTTACTTCTTGGGAGGAGAGCAATGTCCAGTCTCGATAAAATAGTAAAGAGTAGAGACATCAGACTGGCAACAAAGATCCGCCTAGTCAAAGCCATGGTATTCCCTGTAGTAACCTACGGATGTGAGAGCTGGACCTTAGGGAAGGCTGAGCGAAGGAAGACAGAGGCTTTGAGCTGTGGTGTTGGAGGAAAGTGCTGAGAGTGCCTTGGACTGCGAGAAGATCCAACCAGTCCATCCTCCAGGAAATAAAGCCCGACTGCTCACTGGAGGGAAAGATACTAGAGACAAAGTTGAAGTACTTTGGCCACATCATGAGGAGACAGGAAAGCCTAGAGAAGACAATTATGCTGGGGAAAGTGGAAGGCAAAAGGAAGAGGGGCCGACCAAGGGCAAGATGGATGGATGGCATCCTTGAAGTGACTGGACTGACCGTGAGGGAGCTGGGGGTGGTAACGGCCGACAGGGAGCTCTGGCGTGGGCTGGTCCATGAGGTCACGAAGAGTCGGAGACGACTGAACGAATGAACAACAAACCACACCTTTCTCTGTAGCTGCTCTATAATTTCTTTCCTGTCTTCACCAGGTTAGACCAATGAACAATCATGCTGCTATTATATAGCAGCATAGGAACTTTTAGTAAATGTGACACAGCTGACATCTTTGATCTAATTCACTTTATAGATAACTATTTTGATTCTCATCATGAAATCTACAATTCATACAAATACTTTTTGGGCATGTAACAAAAAGTCTCCAAAACAATGGTTAAACCTTGCCTTAGGGCATGATAGTATCTTACTTTTGCCTTGAATTGATGAAAATAGGATTTCAAAATATTTTTCAGTCAATTACTTAGAAATTTAAATAAATCCATATGCTGAGGACATAGATTACTGCAATAGATATTCCAATAGATAAAGGTCTAAGGTCAGTATGAGAGATCACTTCTGACATCTACCTGCATTCAAGCCTCTTCCCATAAATAATTCTTCCCGAAATTAGATCATTACTGTGAATATCTAATACACTATTATGATCATCCTGTGTCTGGCATAATACCCATTAAGAACACAGACGTTTCAGTATAAACAGATTTACCTATAAAAGCTAGAAATCTCATGAACTTACCAACTGGCACTTCTAATATGAAGTCTGGTGTTTTGTCATAACCATTTGCACGTAACTGATCTTCAGCTATATAGAGAAAAATGTTATAAACAATAGTATTATTCTATTAACTAGATAGCAGAATAATTAATTTTCTTTTGAACAGAGGTACAGAATTACTTATGCACTCATAGATATCCTTCTTATGCATGCAATGCTGTGTCAGATTAAATGAACCTTCTTAGCAAACCTGAAACATGAATATAAAAATGCTTCTTTGTCATCTCTGCATTTTTATGTCTTCATTATAAACATCATTAATTCCACCTGTCATACAGTACTTTGTTACTGAAAAATATTCAAAATAAAGAAATATTTTAGCTGATTGAATCGCTTTCAAAGTAGCTGTGAGAAATAACTAGTATAATCACAATGAAGACATGCTGTACTTTTTTCTCAGTTTATATTTTGGGGAATTATAATTAGTATAAAATCTAATCACTGAAAAGTTAAAATAGGGGGAGAAAATTACCTAGGACACTTAGGACTTTATCATACTAATGTCACGTCTCACCACAATTGCGTTAGTGTAAGAAATGGATACATACCAATTTTAGAGTGTTCAGTGTCGTACTTGTCTGCATTAGTGCAACTACCCTACCTTGGAAATCGGTAGCCCCATGATGAGTCTTCCGCACTGTCTCCATAACCACCCCACCCTATTCTCTACTGAAAGTGCCTTGTGTGTGTATAAAAATAAATTTAAAATTCTTTAAAATATTTTATAATTTTAAAAATGTTTTAGCACAATTACAACAATGAAAAATCAGAAATGGGCTGCAGGTAGGGAGTAAAATAGCCATGTTGGGAATAAAGACAGGGTGGGAAGAGATGCCACATGACTGCTAGCATTGACAGAAGAAGATGGGGCCTATTACAATGAGATAGGTAATGGGAAGGTAGCAGCTTCAAAACCCCTGACAGTTTTACACATCATTTAAAAGAGGCACTATAAACATGGAGGGAAAGTGGTAATTGGATGACCACAACATCAAACATTGGGTGATGGCTACCAGCAGCAGATGTGCTTTGCTTGCTGCAATTCCAGTTTGTCAGCCTCATTTGATAACGTCCTTAGAAATTTTTGGCAGGGGGTTGGACTGGATGGCCCATGAGGTCTCTTCCAACTCTATGATTCTATATTCAACATTATGAACATGGAAATGAGCTTGCACCCATTTTTTTCTTCTTGACTCACCCTAACAGCTCTCAAAATGCTGCACTTCTGAATGGGCTGGCCTATGTATGGTATGGAGTATGAGAGGAAATTGACAAGGTACTTATTATGACCAAGGATCTCTTATATCTCTCTCTCTCAATTTTGGGGATTTCCTCCCTTGTCCTCTGTTCTGACAAAAGTTAGCAGTAATGCTGAATACTAATTACAGTCCTATTAGACTTGACAATGTGGACACTTCCAGGCCTTTCTGAAACCCTTATAATCATTCTTCCATCCACTATAAAAGACACAGAATACAACAGGAAGCACTGAGAGCCAAGGCAGGCCTCATTTGTGGTGGCGGGGGCATTCTTCAGCTACTGCCTCTCTGGCTGAAGGCATATTGAATGTATGATCATAATATCACAGTAGATTATATATTATATTTTGGAAATATTTGGCAATCAATGGCAATTAAATGCCATCAATTTATTTATTTACTTCATTTCTATCCCGCCTTTCTTGACCTGAGAGGGGACTCAAGGCAACTTACAAATTTGGCAAAAATTCAAGATATCAAATAGCTATTTTCATCACAATCATCTCCTAACAGCCCTGCTCTTAGTGGACACAGAAAAATGTGCCTATAGCTATCAATCATTAAGTATGAAAATATTTTAATTTTTTAAACAGAGACATTTCTACTTGGGGAAACCCTTGCATTTGGATTTTAAATATGTGTCACAAGTTTCTTGTTTGTCAAGATTCATTGAGGCAGACAAGACAGTTTAGTGTCACTGAGTCATATTTTGTTGCAAAATTCATACAAAATTAGATTACAAGGATGACATTTTAGGGTACTGTCACCTGAAAAAGTGGGAAAGAAGTTTCCAAGTTTTACCCATCTGTTACATATAGGCACATTTGTATACATACCAATTTTAGAGTGTTCGGTGTCATACTTGTCTGCATTAGTGCAACTACCCTACCTTGGAAATCGGTAGCCCCATGACGAGTCTTCCGCACTGTCTCCATAACCACCCCAAGAAGTAAACAAGCTGGGATAGAGCAAATTTCCCCATATATGTGTTTAATTTTATTTTTTCAAAAATATTTTATTTGTAATTTAAAAGAGCTAGTAACTATTTACAAGAAATGTTCCATCACAATCTTGGTATTCAGCTATGATGGTATATCCTTATTCCTATTTTCACCAACACTCCTGAGGATGTTGTGCATTTTTGGTATTTACATAAAATGAGAAAATAATCTAGACTGAGGTACTCCAATGAAAAAAATCCCTCCTACACGAGAATGAGATGTCAAAATAAAAGTCTTAAAGGATATAAGACATATGCAATATTTTGCTTGGAATGTGGGGTTTCTTTGCATAACACACAAATCGTATTTTCAGTAATAATAGAGTTTACAGTAATATTAGACACAATATTTCTAATATGATGACCAATATCTTCATGTAGGTTAATACCTAAAAGCATTCTGATTAAAGAGATGATACAAAGTATACTTGTTCAAACGTATGAGGAAATAAACTTTTAAGCAAGTCAGAGAATTCTTTGTGTGCCAATAATTCTTTTTTTATACATAAAGCATTATGCAGCTAATATTTCTTATGCTTCCTTCTAAGTCTCCGAAGACCTAGATTATGGCTAATATCTCATGACACCAAAAGTAATACAGCAGCAGATATTAAAGCATTTTTTCCAGCTACTTATTCTATAAAATATTAATTGCTAGCTTGTGCATGTGCAATATGGGGTATTAGATAACTGAATTCGTGCTCAGGTCTAAATCAATAAAAGATAACATGTACTGCATCAATCATTTTTTCACCCCTTTTTACTACTTAATACTGGATATCTGTGGAGGCTTGTTTTGCAAAAAGTTACTGAAATTTCCAGTATTGGAAAACTGGGTTATAATTTTAAAAACCCTTACCTAAAAAAGATATATTTTTCTCCAAAAGCATTTCTTGCAGTAAGACTTCATGCTCATGTCCAATTGCGCTGATTTTTTTCTCCATCAAGGAATGGATAACATACAGGCTTGAAATAAAATTCAGATTTAGAATTGTATAGTACCTCTTGCTTTAAAAAGTGATCTAGGATTGAATAATGAACTGGCATGGCAGAGCTCCCTATAGAACTTTTGTACCATACACAGAGAAAGCAGAATTTGGATGGATAAAAGAAAGTGAATCACACTGAATAAGTTAGATTTCCCATCCCACCTCTTTAGACTAAATGGTTCTTCACCATTTGTCAGTTAACCTGTATCCGTTTGGAAATTATTGTGATTCATGAATCAGATGTTGATAACAGAAGTCCAAACAGACTGGGAGGCATTCTTAAGCCTTCGAATCTTAAGATACTGATATGGGAGAATGAGTAGGCTTTCTCTTCTTTCTTTAGATATTTTAATTAGAGATATACTAATATATTCTCCCTTCAGAGAGCAACACAGACCTTCAGTGTTTAATCACACTACATTCATTATCTTACATTATTTGTAAGGCATTATACTTATATAAAGAAGTGAACCTTTATATACTCAATACTTAACACATAGAATGGAATGCCGTCCCCATCAAATGGCCCCTCCTTACTTGCTTTTAATGTTTATGCTTGCAAGCATACAACGAGAAGGAGAAATAGAGATTACAACACTAAATGGAACGGAAAGGAAACAGATTTGATATTCCACTTTAGCTAGTTTCAATGGCTTAAATATTGATTATTTAACTGATAATTATTTAAGTTACTTGTTTTAACTTGTGTAATGTATTGTTTGTTGTTTATATTTTTACTTTATTTTATACAGGTATTATTGAATGTTTGCCTTTATTATGTTGGAAGCCACCCTGAGTCCCCTAGGAGAGATAGGGCGGGCTACAAATAAAATATTATTAATGAAGTATTATTATTATAGAAGTACATTATTCCTAACATCTCCAGATACGCATACAAGCATATGTAAATAATATCCTCCTCCAATCTGGCTTCGTGTTCTTTTCTGTGATACAACATTCTTAGGATCCATCTACATGGGACAAATGAGTCAGAGCAAGGTGGATTATTCCATGGCATTCACATGACACATGAGGTCTATTTGCCCTAACATCCACCAAGGTCACTTAATGTGTGGCCTAGTCCCATGTAAAAGAAAACCCATGGGACATTCCAGGACTTCCCTGAACACCCATCAAGGCCACTCCAGAGCTTTCCCAGTTTGTGATGGTGTGAACAACTAAGGCTGCTTCCTATTCAGAAATGGCTGTGACTGCCATCCAGTCATCCTGTTTTCCATGGGCTTGGAGGGGAGGGGTCATCATCAGGTTAGCAGTGAAACTGGTGGCCATCACTGACACTGGCCAGAGTTATGATCAGAGAAGGGAGGGGGAAAGGGAGGGAATTATTCCTCCTTTCCCTAGTCTCCTCTTTTTCTTTACTCCAGTCAGCCTCACTGAATGTGACGAGAAGGACCACCTGGAGTTTCACACACAGCAATCATCTGTAAGCCAAGGATGAGAGGCAGAAGGGAAGGGTGGTGGTTCAGTAGTGCTGAACCAGGTTCAGTGTAAGTGGGCCGTGTGCATTCATAAGTGGGCAGCTTGGTGTAACACGATGCAGAAACCTGACAGCTGCAGAGTCAGTTCAGTAGCTGGCAGTGCAGACTTCCATGGTGCTGAACTGGAGTACCCCACTCAAATCATTCAAAAAATCTACAAGGTAATGGGGAAGGAGCAAGAGTAAAACAGGATGACATCATATGAATATCATCCTTTGATGCTGAATCTAATCATGACATAATCATGACCAGGACAATTTGGAAAGTGAAGAGGCAGTGCTGAGTGACTAACTTAAATTTTACTTTGTTTAGAAAACAAAGCACTGAAACTGCTATTTTAGGGTGGTTTGGCAGACACATGGTTTTGAATATGCATTCATATTCTTTCTGATTTGGACATGTTAACTTCTAAATGAGGAACTGTTCATAATCTTAATCATGGAATAGGATTAGTAGGTATAACCAACAAGAAGTAAACAATTTTAGGCTTACATGCTCTTTCCTCCTATGTAAGCAAGAAGAGGTCTAAGTCACATTTACTGATTTCATATAAAATCAAGGAACTATGATTTATTTCAACTAATTAAGAAACCAGAATATCAAATTAGAGATTGCCAGGAATAATTCATAGTCATCTTCTAAACTATGCTCTAGAAAATCCCCTTATTTTGATTGTACAGATAAACAGTCAGTGATTATTTCAAGTAACACAGCTGTATTGATTTTTGTTAGTATGATATTTACTGTCATGTTAGCAGAAACAACTACAATTATACATTTGCACATGAACACATGATGCACAGAGAAGAAGCTACATCACTTGTATTTTTAAAGATTAGAAAAAAAAATACATCAGCTTCAAATCTCTCACCTCTGCATTTTGTAAAAACATTTCTATTACTTAACAAATAGCGGTACAGTCACATTGTTCTCCTTTCAGCAAAAATAGCATGTCTGAATATAAAGCAACAGGCATATCTTTATAGGCTGCCCTATACAATTTCCTCTATATTTAACTCTAGTTAAAGTAAGAGATAAAATCAAGTTGCTTGATACTTTAAGATAGATAATGTACACCCCCTCAGCATACCCACACCATAACTGTTTTGTTATAGAAATATATAAGCTTTAACATATATGAATAGGAGAATATAGTAAGGTGAAACAATATGAATCTCTTTATTTCTGAATTTCAATTAGAAATTATTTTCATTATGAAAATTACATAACACAAACCTTCTGCTGCCATCCTTTGTCTTTTTTGAAAGCCCGAAAAAATATTTTTGTGAAAAAAATGTTTTCAAGTTATAGATTTACTTTTTATGAATCTAAATAAGTTTAACTCTTAATCAATTTATTGTTACCATTATCGGTCTTTAACTTTCTATAACTGGAATAGTTTAAAAACATCCTAACTAGAACTGTTAAAACCGCAATAGAAATCATGCACTACAGCAAATTCTATTATAATGACAGAGGCCAATGAAGAAAATGAATGATGGCAAAACTAGAAGACAAATTCTGCAAACAAAATTTATAATGCACCATAAGCAGAAACACTTAGACTTAGTCTACAGTAATACCTGTTATTGATGTATGGCACTGACCATGGAGCAAAACTTGTAAATAACCTCACAAGCCATTTTCTACTCATGCTATCTAGCAGCCTAGTTTCCCGTAAGCATCTGAACTATTACTGAAAAATAGCCTCCTGGCATTTACAAAGAGGTTGACTTCATACTTTAGCCCATGCATATATAATTTGATAGTTGTATTTAAAATCAATACATGATTCTTAGAAGACATTATGCTTTTAAATCCTTAACTTTAAATGGATTTTAAGCTAATTTGTGTGCTTTAAAATTAACAACACTCAGCTACCTTTATGTTCAAATAATACATTCCGAAGCAGGGAAAATCTAACTACCTATAGATGACACTTTAAAAATGGCTAGACAAGAATCTGATTTGGACTTTTTGCAAGATTTTGAGGCTCTTTTTTAGGCTGTAGGACAGGCATGGACATGGGCTGTACCCCCAGGCTGAGAGGAGAGTGGGGAGCAAAGACAGGCCACTTTGGAGCTCTCTCTCTCTGAAATGGCCTGTCCTTCCCTAGGCTGAGAGGAAGAGAAGGGGACAGGCTGCTCTTTCTCGGCAATTGTCTGTTGTTCCCCTGGCAGGTGATGGCTGAGAGTGCCCCAGACCACTCTCAGCCGCTGCCTGCCTTCCTGGGGCCATCCTACCAGCATAAGGACAGGGCTGCTCACCCCATTCCTATATGAGGGGGGGGGAGGCACACAGCAGCTGAGAGCACTCAGGATAGTTTCCAGCCACCGCGTGCCTTCCTCTTCCATCCTTCTGGTATAAGGATGTGATGGGCTGCTGCATCCTTATGCCTAAAGGAAAGGGAAAATAAGGAGGGCAGGGCATAAGCACTCAGAGGCCCATGTCCGGCCCGCAGGCCTTAGTCTGCTCATGTCTGCTCTAGGAAGAGAAGGATGTTTGCCAGGTCATCTGATCTTTTGGAGAATGGTCCAGACTGCACTGTGATTCACTGTGTCAAATGCCTTTGCAGGGTCAATGAGTGCAATGTACAGAGGTTGATTTTGTTCCCTCCATTTTTTTTTGAGCTGTTGTGCAGTGAAGATGACTGAGTCACCTAAGGACTGAGAAGGATGGTATACAAATATAGTAAATAAATACTTTATATACTCGAGTATAAGCCTAGTTTTTCAGCCCCTTTTTTAGGCTGAAAAAGCTCCCCTCGGTTTATACTCGAGTCAAGATTATTTATTATTTTACTGTTATTAGTATTATTTTATTACATTTATTATTTTACTCTATTATTATTATATTTACATTATTTTGCTCTATTATTCTATTTATTATATTGCTCTATTATTATTATTATTATTACATTTACAGTGTTTTACCCTATTATTATTATTGCATTTATTATTTTAATCTATTATTGTTATTATTATTACATTTACAGTATTTTACCCTATTATTAATACATTTATTGTTTTACTCTATTATTACTGTTTTTATTGCATTTTCCTTATTTTACTCTATTATTTTTATTATATTTATTATTTTAATAATAAGTACATTTACATTGAAGGAGGTTAGAAAAATGGTTTAATAAGAGTTGGACAGTCTTATCTTAAATTACAGTTTTATGTAAATATTCAGAAACATTTAGCCTATTGATGCCTCAATTAATGTAATTTTATTGGTATCTATTTTTATTTTGAAATTGACCCATAGTGGATGCATTTCCCACCCTCGGCTTATACTCGAGTCAATACATTTTCCCAGTTTTTTGTGATAAAATTAGGTGCCTCAGCTTATATTCGGGTCGGCTTATACCCGAGTATATATGGTAAATAAATTTACTCTTCCTCTGGAGGGGCGGAGGCTATTCTGGAATTCTAGGATGATGTCTTCTGAGATATGTAGAAGGCCATTTGTAAGGATTCTTGCGAGGATTTTTCCAGTGGAGTTTAGAACAGAGATACCTCGATAGTTTCCATAGCCTGTTCTCCCTTTTTGGAAAGGGTGGTGGTGGTGGCATCTTTGAAGTCTGCTGGGATTTTCTCGGTTGCTCACTTTTTCAATTAGCTGGTGGAGTTGCTTTTTTTTTTTTTTGGTCGTGTCAGGAGTGACTCCTGGTGTGAGAGAATTGGCTGTCTGCAAGGACGTTGCCCAGGGGACGCCTGGATGATTTGATGTTTTTATTATCCTTGTGGGAGGCTTCTCTCATGTCCCCGCATGAGGAGCTGGAGGTGATAGAGGGAGCTCATCTGCCTCTCCCCGGATTTGAACCTGCGACCTGTCAGTCTTCAGTCCTGCTGGCACAGGAGTTTAACCCACTGCGCCACCGGGGGCTCCATGGTGGAGTTGCTGTGTCATCTTTTTTCTTAGCAGCACAGCTGATGCCTCTGCCATCTTTGGATCTCATTATCATTTTCATCAAATCAGTCTTAATGTTTATTAGTTTTGTATTCAATGGTTTCTTCACAGTCTGTGATGATGAAGGTCTTCAGTTTCTTCCAATGTTCTTCAGCATTTTGAAGGTGTTCTATGGGTAGATGATCCTTGAGTGTTGTTTGGAGAAGGGCTCATTTGGAGGGCTCTTGAAGGGCTTGGGTGTTCATTTTATACCTTATGTTTCTTCTTTGGAGTCTGCAAAGTTTCCCTTGCAATAATAGCAGTTTTGTGTTCAAGACATTCACTGTCTGTGCTGTCCAACAGTGTCCAAACATTCCATGTTCCAAAGTTCAATTTTCTTTTTTGGCCACAGGTTGGTTACCCCTCTGGATGGGGCAGTCTAATCAGGGGAGAGAGAGGCAGACTACATTTAGGGCACCTTTTCTAGCCCTCTCCCCATATGGGGTGAGCAGAGGGATCCTAAAAAGGGTTGCTCAGTCGTAGTAACAACTGCCGGACTACTTAACAGCCTTGGACCTTGAGGTAGAACGACTGAATTCATATCCACCACCCATGTGCCAGTCTGTGACTAGGGGTTTCCAGATTTCACAGTCTTGCACCCATCAGTCACCACTCAGTGATCGCCATGGAACCTTTGTTGGTTTTGTACCTTGGGAAGTCTGACTTGGCCACAGTAGTCCACGCTCTGGTTACATCCCGCTTAGACTACTGCAACGCTCTCTACGTGGGGTTGCCCTTGAAGACTGCTCGGAAGCTTCAAATGGTCCAACGTTCGGCAGCCAGGTTACTAACAGGAGCGGCTCTCAGGGAGCACACCACTCCTCTGTTGCGCCAGCTCCACTGGCTGCCAATCTGCTACCGGGCACAATTCAAGGTGCTGGCTTTAGCCTTTAAAGCCCTAAACGGTTCTGGCACTACCTACCTCTCCGAACGCATCTCCTCCTATGAACCGACCAGGACATTAAGATCGTCTGGGGAGGCCCTACTCTCGGTCCCGCCCGCATCGCAGGCGCGATTGGCAGGGACGAGAGACAGGGCCTTCTCGGTGGTGGCCCCTCGGCTGTGGAACACCCTACCTGTGGACATGAGACAGGTCCCTTCACTGCTGGCATTCCGGAGGAAGGTCAAGACTTGGCTTTACGAACAAGCGTTTGGCTAATAATGCAATGAAATACAGTAAGACGGTACAACTGAACATAGGAATTGGTATAAAGGATTATGATTACGGATTCTGATTCTGATTTGTTTGCTGAGGCGTACATCTATGATAATTATTGTTTTTGATTTGATGTTTTGTATAATGTGTTTTTAATTGCCTTCTTGATGTTGTTGTGTTAACCTTTACTATGTAAACCGCCTTGAGTCGCCATTTTGGCTGAGAAAGGCGGTATAGAAGTAAAGCAAATAAATAAATTTTGTTTTATTTTCCCAGAAGATGCCTGTGCGTTTTTTTAAAATGTGTGGTCAGTGCACAGCCGATCAACAGTCTTCACAGAATGAGGGTCCCATCCAGTGGTATGGTTAGTATGACGATGGTGGCTTCCCATCTGTTGCAGCCTTCTTCCACCTTCACAGCTGTTGTAACATGTACCAAGTCATCTTCCGCCGCTGAAGTCTTCGGGTCTTTGGGTTGTGCTTGGTCTGGATCCTCTCCTGTGGCCCCTCCTGGGAGTACCTGACACTGATGGTTATTCCCACAGGTTCACTGGAACATGCAAGCCCCCTTACAAGACTGATAAGACTAAATTCACTGTGATAGTTTTCGCCAAAATTGGTGAGCCCAACTCATTGGATCAATGGAATATATGTTAGCATTGAGTTCCCACTGATTAAATGGTTAACTTCAGTTGGGACTAACAATTCAATTTAATATATCTGCTTTCTTTTGTATTGTAAACTGCTTGGATCTTTTGGGAAAGTGGTTGCATCAATTCATTCATAAACACAGAACTTGAATGAAGATCTCACTAAGGGATATAGAAGGACATGGAAGAATAAGGGGGAGGTGGGAAGAAATTAAATTTTAAATAGTTGTTTCACCCCATACAGTCAGGAACATGTGCATTATACATTTTTTAAAAATCAAGACTTTTTCATGCTGTGATTCAGGAAACTTCTTTAAAATTCCACTTTCACATACATTTGTGTTTACAAATAATTTGATTTGGTTTTTTGCAGTGCTTGAACCCAATAAAGGGAGACACATCAAGTTAATCAACTCAGTAAATGTGTTTGAAAACATATTTTTCATTTACAGATGTACGAACTGAATAAAGAGATTAGTTTCTTGTTGTACTGATGCTACAAATGAATGATAGGTTAAAACTCTTTACAAACATTATTATTACCAAATATTGATCTTTGATCTACTGGAAGCACAAGATTTTCTAAGAACTTGCAGGGAAAACAATCTGTGACAATTTCAACACCAGAGGTGGATCTGGGCAAGGCTACAGAGCTTTGGTCCATTAGGTGTTACTAAATACCCAGTTCCTACAATTTGCAGCCAGCCTGTTCAGTGGCAAGGCATGATAGGAGTGGTAATTCATCAATATCGGGAGGGCCAAAGATCCCTTAACTCTGCTCTTAACCATAACAGATGTTCCAGCTTATGGATCTGAACAGAATTACAGGTTTTCTGTCTACTGAATAATTCCATTCACTATCATAAATCAAGTTCTGTGCAGAACCCTAAGTCTGAAACATTTAACAGCTCACATGATTATAAAATTCTTGGCACTTCTCTGTTTTTACTTGCTGGCTCGAACTGTATTCCTTGTAGACAGATACAAGAGTAGAGTATTGGTAAGTCAGACACAGTTTAAGATTTTGAATCAGAATTTCAAATACGCTTTATCCAATGGAAAATGCAAAGCAGCTGAGAATTCTTATAAAACAGTGTACATTATGACAGCTAATAATTTGATACAAGATTGTGTATTTCATGTAACAAACAGCAAAAGGTTTCCATCTAAGCACAGGAAATACATAGCTAGTAAACTGACAACTTTCATATGGTGTATCTGATGTTAGTTAAATAGTATAAGAGACAGTGCCTGCAGTGACCCCTTGTAGTTGATTGAATGTAAAATAGAGGAGTATGATATGTGTTTCCTGAAGCAGAACTTTATGTCAGGTTGAAGCTAGACACGTCTCCTCCACAGAGTCTAAGCTCATCAACTGCGCACCTAAAATTTTATGAGAAAGGATACTGTTTGATGCAGTCCACCAGTGGTCCATAACAATAGTCATTCACAGTACACTGCAGACAAATAAGAAAAGTAGTAGTTATGGGTGATGACAGAACTATCATAGTTAAACAGAATTCTAAAAACAATACATTTTAAGAAGAGCTATCAAAAGCTTTTTAGAGGTAATCACAGAAAACAAAAAATACATATTTTAAAAGACTCTGCATAAAAATAAAGCTTTAAAAATGAAATGCTCTCTTCACAATATTACATTGCCATTTATGCATTGCCTGACCTCAGTGATAGATTATGATGACAGTAATTAAATGAGGTTTAAAATCTTTTACACTGCTAGGCAGATAACAGCATTGCTACTGAAAAAGGATGACTGTGATGAATACCTGATAGACCTGGTTGGCTAAGACTCCATCTGGAATCTGAGAAGGGTCCCGCAACATACTGTTTATAAGAGTTTTGGAAGCTGTGGAAGAAGAGGAAGATATTGTAAGTGTTGCTGTAAACATGTCACTAACCAGCTGTCAAGGAAAAAAAAGAATAAGACATGCTTTAGAGGGGATGAAGATAGCTCCCCCCCCCCATATCAATATCTCTGATTACACAATTGGAACCAGAAATATTTCTCACATTTAATTCTGTATGTTATAAATAGGAAAGTTTAATTCAGTGGCTAGAATCCATGGATGAATTATTTTTAAGAGGAGCTGAACACTACAAAATATAAGGAAATAGAACATTAACCGCAGCCTCCAACACATATTCCACAATGGCATTTTTTACACTACTCATTTGAGAAATCTCCAATCTTTAAAGAGTAACTTTGAGGGGAAGAGGGAACAGGAAGCACAAAAGGTTTCATGTTCTTCCCTTAATGTCAAACACCGAACAAAATAAATAGTAATAGCACCCAAATACATTCCATCTTCAAAACTTCCAAACTTCTCCCCTATACACAAAAATAGGTCAAGAATATACACATAAATCCTTTATAATGCTCTCAAACTAAGAGCAAACTCCTAATTTACCATGATGGTTGAGAATTAGCTGAATCTGTGTTGAATTCAAATCCCGCTCAGCTTAGAAATGCTGGCAATTAATTATTCAGGACTACCCTGCTCCTGGCCTAACTTTGTACCAGGAGCGAATTTGGCTTTACCATAACTCCTACCTTGCTCCACCACCATGTTGGTTACTCTGTCATGAGGGCAATTCATCTAACACAAAGCAAATGGACCCTTGCAGTTTATTCCAGAACTTCACATCTCTACATTTATCTATAACATGCTCCCCCACCAAAGTAAATCGATCTATATAAATAAAAATGTAATGTTCGTTTGTGGGATTAACAGAACTCAAAAACCACTGGGTGGATTGACACCAAATTTGGACACAATACACCTAACAACTTAATGTATGTCCTTCACTCAGCAAAACACTGAAAAACACAGCAGAAGGGAGTTAAAAAGCCCCCAAAAGCTAAATGACGAAAATCTAAATGACAATACAGAAAAAAGGAAGAAAGAGGGAGGGAAGGGGAGAAAAAAGAAAGAAAGAAAGAAAAGAAAGAGGGAGGAAAAGAAAGAAGGAAAGGGAGAAGGAAGCAGGGAAGCAAAGAGAGAAGGAAGGAAAGAGGTAGAGAAGGAAGAAAGGAGAGAAAGAGGGAGGGAAAGAAAAAGGGAGAAGGAAAGTTAGAGAAGGAAGGAAAGAGAGAAGGAAAGAAAAAAGGGAAAGAAGGAAGGAAAGATGGAGCGAAGGAAGGGGGAAGATGTAGAGAAAGAGGGAGGGAAGGAAAGAAGGAAAGAGAGAAGGAAGAAAAGAGAGACAACAGAAGAGAAAGAAAAAGGGGGAAGGAAGGAAAGAGATAGAGAAGGAAGGAAGAAGAGAAGGAAAGATGGAAAGGAAGGAAGGAAAGAGGGAGTGAAGGAAGGAGGGAAAGAAGGAGAGAAAGAGGGGAGGTTGGCCACAGCAACGCGTGGTGGGTACAACTAGTAACAATAATAAATCAGTAACAAAATAACCCAGTACATGATAGGACAAGACTAGAAATGAAAATAAGTATATTCCTTTATTCAATTTACCAGCATAATCCTGGAAACCAGAAGCCAGACTTTAAAAATATCCACTGAGGCATCCGCGGTGGACGCTATCTTCCTACAGGAGACACATCAAAATAAGCAGGGTTCAAATGAGCTAAAGTCGAGTTGGATAAANCTACTGAAGAAGGACGCGGCGGACGCCATCTTCCTACAGGAAACACATCAAAATAAGCGGGGCTCAAATGAGTTAAAGTCGAGCTGGATAAGGAACTACGAAACATCTTTTGGGACATCAAAGTCAAGAGGAGTAGCAATAATAATAGCAAAGAAATGTAATTTTGTCATAAACAAGGTATTGAAGGATGAAGAGGGAAGATATATAATAATATATGGGGAAATAGGGGAGGAAAAATATGTATTAGTAAATGTATACGCACCAAATGTGAAACAGCAAGAATTTTATGAAAAAGTGTTAGAGCAAATAGAGAATTACCATCAACAAAATGTAATATTTGGAGGAGATTGTAATTGCTGTATGGATTTAAAGAAGGATAAAACTACGATAGCATCAAAAGCTAGAAACATTGAAACAACGGAATTAAGCAGAGTAATGAATAAATGGCAATTAAAGGATGTGTGGAGATTGGTAAAAGGGAATGAAAGTAGATATACATATTATTCATCAGTACATAAGGTGTATACAAGAATTGATTATATTTTGTCTCCAAAAATATGACAAGTAAAGTGCTAAATGCTGATATAGGTATGATTAAGATTTCGGATCACGCTTTGGTTTCAATTGAGATTGCGTTGAAATGTGATTATGATGAAATGAAAAGGTGGAGGTTAAACACAAGAATACTAAATCATAAAGAGATAGTAGATAAAGTGCAAGCAGAATGGCAAGAAATATGGGGCTTCAACGAAAAGGGGGTGACAAAAGGAGTTCTATGGGACACTATGAAAGCAGTGACCAGAGGGTTATGTATAAAAGAGACAATTAATTTAAAGAGAAGGCAAGAAGAAAGGAAAAGGAATTTAGAAAGAGAAATAGAAGAGATTGAAAAAGCATATGTAATAAAGAGAGATACACGAATTTATGCTAGGTTAAGAGCAAAAAAAGAGGAATTGGATAAAATGGAAATAGACGAAGTACAAGAAAATTTAATTTATTTAAGGAGGGAATATTTTGAGTTTAGTGATAGGAATTCAAAGATCCTAGCCAAATCAACACAGAAAAAGAAAATGGAAGGAACGATAAACATGATAAAAGATAAAACAGGTAAATTATGTAGAGCTATGAAAGAAAAATTGAAAGTATTTGAGGAATTTTATAA